TTTTAACCAACGTGAGACCTGCGCCATTATCTTAAACGCCCTTTACACTATCCAACAACAAAATTTAATCAATATCGATGGAGCCTTTTTTTGAAAATGTCCAAGTGGTTTCATGTAAAGTATCCCTTAGAATTAAAATTTCGATTTCAAAGTCAAGAGCATCAGCCACATCAGCCAGATCGATCAGGGAATATCTATTTTGGAGAGAATCAGCTGAACGGTTTAGCCGTTAGTATTATTCACGGATGGACAGACGTTTTGCCGTTAATGTTCTGGTATCAAGGACACACAAAACATGGAATCTGGCAACACCACGTGTTGGAGGAGTTTTTTTCTAAATTTAGTAAATGGATTTAAACACTTTTTCGTTTCCGGGTCCAAGAGTTTGTCAGCCGAAAATTTCACCGTGTTTTTCGCGCAGCATTCTATAACTCTCTGCTGCGTAATTTTATTAAACATTAAGTGGTTGTACTGGACAGAGTAACCTTTTATTTCACATGTTCAAACATAGCACTACAACTGAAAAACGGTACGAGATATCAAAAAGAGTGTAAGGTCATTTTTATAAAGAACATGTTATAAGAGATTCAAATCCGCGACCCTTCAAGCCGAGGCAGCTAGGTCCTTGGGCCTTAGCGGCCTTGGCTATCCAGGCCAGCACTCTTGATTTAGTTTCAACAAGCATACTACAATAGTTTAAGTTATAGATTGTCTTATTGCATTGAACCACTTATATAATGTTGTTTTTATTACAATCATAATTTCTTTAAACAGCTCTCAACAACAAAAAATGCGCTTTTATCTTAAATCAATGGAATCAAACAGAAACCGGAATGTGTTTATGAAAAATAATAAAGATGTTTCTGAATTATCAATTATGTTCTACATTTTGCATCACAATAACTATATTTGAGAATATTGTTCATTAAAGACAGCAATGATAAAAGATTTTAATGATGAAAAGTAACCATTTGCATTGTTGCTATGGAAGTGACTGGTGTCAAAGTAATTTGAATGCCTAGTTTCCATCCTATAAAGAACATTAAGGCCATGTAGGCAAAAAATGGATTTTTAGTTTTATCAAATTATAATTATATTACAGCCCCTCAGATTTTCAGTTGTTTGCTTTCTATGAGGTGATTCTGGGTTCGATTTCCAACTGGGACAAAAATGAAGCTGTAGCTTTCTAATAGAAAATCTGATTCTATAGCTGTGTGATGAAAGAAAAGGCTCAAGCACGCCAATGACAGGAATATATCATGCTTGCCACATGTCTCCCTTACCCTCAGGCGTTGATAATAAATAAATAAAAACAGGGCCCAGCACTTGGAATCACTGCTATTTGGCAAAAGTTGGATTAATATGGCCCAGGAATGCCAAATGCATACATAATTATACTACATAACTGTAACATTTACAAGTAGTTTAGTCAAGACATTCATCCAGATGAGAGAGGGGTTTGATGCAGGTGTACATAAGTACATAAATACTAAGTCTGCGAGTTCAAAAGCAGCATAAGATGTGAATATTTTAAGACATGTTTGTGGCATGGGGAGTTTTCAATGTCCCTCCTGCTTGCATGTAATTGCTCCCTTCATAGTGTTTATATAATCTCTTGACCTGACAGATACAGTCTGTGTAATGGAAGAAATAGATCCTTACACCCAGAACAATGATGAACACACTGAGATTGGATACATGGGCAAAGTACATAAAAGTCCAAAGATATCAAGGTAGCCCTGCGTATGTAACGTTCAGGGAGTGCAAAGTTGTTTATCACTGGGAACTTTCCCAGAGGAGCGACACATACCATGAAAATTCAGGCCCTGGTGCATTTTATGTGACAAGAGATTCTGGGAAGAGGGTGGGACAAAACCGAAAAGTTAGTCCTGACTCAAGAACACAGGAAACTAACTGCAATGAGAACATCTATGTCACTCTGTAGTTATTTTCTCACATGTGTACATATGTGCAGTGTAATATACACAGTATAGACAAATTTATGCAATGATGTGGAAAACGGATGTTGAGATTTTAACGGAAATGCGAGTTTAGTGATCCCCTACTTCTAACAACTTGTCTGTGTCCGACTCTGTTTGTCTATGTCTGTCTGCATTAGCACATCTGTGAACAACATTATTTGTAGTTGTTGTTTTTTCCCCAATTGAAGATTCCCAGAGACATCTGACCCTGTTCAACGTCCTATGACTTCAAAAAGAATTATTTGAAAAATCAAGAGTGATCAATGGATCAATATCAATCACTTACAAAATAATTTGATCAATTTGATGAATCCAATAAAAAATTGTATTACAACAGATGTTTTGATCTCTCTGTGTATTGTAAATAAATGAATAAAATAATTGTTAAAAATATTTCTGTAATTTAACTTTGAATTTTCAGAAATAAAACATTCCAAAGAGGATCTCACGCACAGAGAGTGAAACATCTATATTAATACAAAATTATGACTGGATTAATCATTCATTTTACAGTCGATAAAATTACTCAAAGTTTGAGAGAACTTTTAATGAAGTATGTTGGAAGAATCAGCCTCTTGCCTGTTATTTTTGTTAACAAAAAAACTGATACGCTTTTTATCAGAAGTAAATAAGGAGTGCGATAAATATTTAGACTCTCCTACACTCCTTTTTTCCCCCTCACAATCTCAGAATTTTTGAAGCTGTAAGAACAGAGATTGTTGTTCATTGTTATTTTAAAAACATCTTTATTATAATTCATAAACACATCCTGCACCAATTTCCAATATTTTTTGAAAAATGGCTCAAAATGTTTTTTTCTAATTTATTGTAAGAATAAGATGGGATATATCCAATTCTCAATCTTAACTCTGAATTTTCAAAAATTGGGAAAGTTGAATGAAGGGCTCCAAATAATATGCAACTACATTATGGATGAATTTGTTCTCCCAAAATATTACTTTAATTTACGTCATGTATATATTTTGTAAATATTAATCTTTTCACATTTAAGTGAGATGTAATCAATATTAAAAACAATATTTTCTCAAAAACACTGCAAATTTCTTCTTTCAATTTTTTGTATTGTTAGTACTTAAATGATACTTTTGCAAAAAAATAGTTAAAAATATTGTCGTAGGCTTCCGTGGCCAGAGTCATGATCTGGGCTGTCCGGGTGACGCCGCGTCGATGGCTGATGTGCCAACGTTTCGACCGACATGTCGCGGTCCTCTTCAGGGGCTCTACTGCTAATAGCATGCCTCGCAGTCGCATTATCCAAAGTGGTCCAATCCGTAATGTTTAGTTTTGCTGCTAATTCCAGGTGTAGGTGGAGTAGTCTCTTCTCCATGTGGACAAGTTCGGATCTGGTTTGTCTTATCCTCTCACGGAGGAGCGCAAAGCCAGATGAGCACAAAATGCGTTCCGCTTGTCGTGTCTTGGTATGATGATTTACCTTTAGAAAAGCCAGGAGGATGTCTTCATCCCTGCAGCGTAGGAGAAATGCAAGGTGGCAGAGATTGCGACTACGTTTGTCACGTAGTTTTCCGAGTTCTTTACAGGTTCTGTATGTGTCCTCCCCGTAGGTGTGTTAAATGATGTCGTAGGCTTCCGCGGCCAGACTCATGATCTGGGCTGTCCAGGTGACACCGCGTCGATGGCTGATGTGCCGACGTTTCGACCGACATGTCGCGGTCCTCTTCAGGGGCGGACAGCCCAGATCATAGTTAAAAATATGTCAATGAAAATTTGCTAGTATTTCCACATTTTACTCTTCCATTAAATTCTTAGTTATATTGAAATTCTACTATTAGGGGACCAAGTGCAATCAAAGGATCAAGTGAATTGCCAGATAACAAAAATAAATATAAACTAGCATTCAAGTGCGAGAACTCTAACATGCTAAACCCTACCCACTTCTCTATCCTTCCATTTCCATATTAAGAAGGAAAGATGTTAATGAAGTACATTTATTTGCTTAAAAAATATACAAAGGTAACTTCCAATGTACTTACAAAATATAAATTAAAAATAGAGACAATGCAACTTAAATTTTTGGAACAAATTTTCAATAAAGGTTTATCTAATATTATAGACAGATGTTCTTGGAACAATTCACAACACATCCTTAAAAATAACATTTGAAGTAATTATACAATCTTCTTTGACAGTCAGCTTTTTGCTTTCCTCGATAATTACAAAAATTTTAGAAAAACATTTTACTTTTGAAAAAGCTATGCAACGTTGGTCATGTGAATATGCAGGATCAGCCAAGTACAAGTACCTACTCTTTGCAATTTTATTTAACTTCATTGCCATCAGAAAGGAAGACATGTGCAATTTAATTGCAAAGAAAATAAAGTAAGAATTTAATTTTACATACAGTAGCAAAATCTGAAAGCGTCTGAACAGGTGGGATAGTACTCAAAAGAGACAGACAACCAAAAATGTAACAGAATATCCAAATGGATAATATCCTGAAGATTATATTGTAAGAAACATTTCTTTGAGGTCGTTGGCCTCAAAATTCTCGATTTTAAGGTCCTAAAATTCTTCATCTACGAGTTATTTAACAATATATACATTTTAAAATGATGCCCGAGAGTTGTTGGTTACATTTGACACGAATATTTAGATTCTTTACGTCCCACAAATCCTTCACGTTTTTAATGTCAAAGTGCAATTTGCCACATATCCATGAAATTCTTATTTATAGAGATTGGTTGTGTGAGAGTCACAAAACTCATCTGTACTACTAAAATAATACAGGAGGCGTTTGTTCCAAAGGAAATTTAAGATATAATGCAAATTTTGTCACTCTGTTAGAAGCAGCGGACATGCTGCCTCTGACTAATATAAAGACTTCAATTTTATTTACAAATTAGGGTGCGTAAAATCTTTGAATGTGATGCAAAAATTACCTGTATTTTTTGTTAATCATCACATGAAAATTGACTTATTCCTATGAAATGTTTCATTCCACAAAATTATCCCCAGACAAAGTTACTTATCACTACTCACCTGAGATCGAAAAACTTGTATCCTTCAACGCAGCTTTGTCATCAATAGTCTCACTACATATTGCCAAGGGGTCCTGAAATAAGATAATGACATCATAGAACAGGTTATTGAGTAGAAGGAAACATTGTTTCCACCTTTCTCCATGAAGAGAGAAGAAAATCAATAATTATCAAGAACTTGTTTTATAGAAATTTCAAAAACATTTGGATAATAGGGCATATTTCACAAAAAATTATTGCATTCAAGTCACATTCCAAACTACTAGTGAATTTAAGACAATTCTGGTTATTTAGAAAGAACAACATCAAGTTATCAATAAAACATATTCACAGATAACCAAATAAGGAAAAAGTTGTAACACTAGAAAAATTCAAATGCAACTTCATCATTCTCAATTTTTTAAACTGTTTCCAAACCTTTCAACTTTACTAATTTAATCCTTTCTTAATATTTATCTTGTTTGGGAAGTTCTACACTTAAATTACAAGAAATTGTCTTATATATACTTTGAAACCCACACAAATTCTTTGAAATCCATTTGTATATGTAAATAATTATTTGTATGTAACAGCAGATAGAATGTGTACTGTTAATTTTTTTAATATGCATATGTTTGGTATATTTAATAAAACAAAACACACACAAAACCTGTATTTGGCATATGGGAATGAAGTATCATCTGCGCACATTTTCTTGAGCTCCTGAAACTCTTCCCAACATTTTAATAAACTATAAATAGTTGAATAATGAATAAAAGTTCCAAGAAAATGAAGACAGCAACTTTTGAAAACTAAACAATTTTGCTCCTGAGTAATAGAAAACATAATTTACATCATTAAACAAACTGCGGATTTTTATTTCTTTGCAATGCTAACAAAATAGTAACATATCCTCGGCTCTTATCCAACCACTACTAGTAAAAGGGAGCTCAACAAAACAGGCACCTGGTGAAGTTACATTTATGTCCAGAAGCCAAACAATGAGACATTTCAGCATTTGCTCAATGGATCATGGAAATTGGATGAAAAGCATGATTGAGATTGGGGTCATTGACTTGGAAGCTTGAGTAATGCATAGAACGGTTCCATACAGACATAGAACGTCATAGTACATCAGGAATCATTGTTAAAATATATATTATTTTTCTTTTTGATATTCATTATAGTCTCTACCACTACTTTAATTGTCTAGAAACAGTTATGCACCACAAAAGATTTTACTTTTAACTTAATTTGTGGACCAATTTTAATTGTTATTCCATTTAGTTAACTAATTATGCTTATTAATTCCGTGAAAAATTATTATCTCCATGTTAATAGCACACTTGCCATTAAAATTCCACTGTGCAATTAAAACCCAACACCTACCAATCAGAATTCACAAAAAGAGCCATTGTTTAATTAAGAAACTATAACCGAGACATAACAGAGGTATTTCCAGTCAGCCAGAAAACATGAACAAAAATTTACATCACAGATACATACCTACAACAACTACATAAATACAACGATTGAATAAAACTAAATATGGGGAAAAAAGCCTTAAGCTTGCTGACATATGGAACAACATAAAATATTTAACGTGAATAAATTAAATATTTTACATGTAAAACATTGTCTTAGGATTACAAATGTAAAAAATATTAACGTCAGTTGTGTTAATCCATTCTAAAACTTCGGCTATATCAAAATTCTGTCATAAGTGACAATATCCCCTCCAATATTTATACATGTCATATTCTCTCTCATACCTGTCATTACTTTTTCGAGGGAAGTTATCTTTTCATGACTGTCAGCTTCTTTTTAACATTTTATTTTGCAACAAAAGTACCATACATTTTCAAATATTTTGTGCAAACAAACGAAACAGGGCCCACTAAAATAAATCTTATTCAGAGGCAATACATCATCAAATGTATGCCTCAAATGGTAAAGATATGCTTGAATTTCTCAAAATTTAAATTATTATTAAATGGAAATGAAAAAATATTGAAAGTAACATGTGAATAAAGGGGTATAATTCCACTCATAGTTAATAAGAAAACGCGCTCCTTTCGTCACTCATTTTCTCAAACATACCACTCATGCAATTATACCCCTCTTTATACACCCATTTCACTAATTACTATAATGTCATCTAGCAATGTGTTGTAAAGTAAAATACATGTATTATATATGAATTTCTTATAATTAGCTGTTGATATTGACACCAGATGAATGTAATTTCTACGACTTGTAATTTTAAATATGAAAACTGCACAAAAATACACACAATATATACAAAATAGTATATTGCAGAATCCACAGCTAATTATAAGAAACAAAGAGGTAAATTGAATGTTTACAAAGGAGGTGACAATGCACAACAGTAGTTAACCCTTAACTACAAAAAATACAAGAAACTGACATCATGAACGAATAAATGATTCAAAAGACAAACAAACTAAGAATGAATGAATGAATAAATAAATAGATTCAATTCAATAAGGCTGTTCAGCCTGTTCAAATGCTGAAAGGTTTACTGAGCCTCATGTAGGGGGGTTAATTTACATTATCCTTATACTATTAACCTTACAATTACCTCCTTCTCGCATATTACTGACGATACACTACATTCAATTGTTGTACCACCTGCAACTCACTTCAGATTCATCCACAAATTCTTGAGTGTCCTCATAAGCCTCAAGAAAAACTGTGGCTGGAAACTCCAGCTCTTCCTGCAAATTGAACAAAACCAATACATTTGGAAAAAGATTCCTCATTGCCGAGTTAGTTTATCAGGGTATAAGAAGCCATCCATATAAATTACATAACACAAATTTGGAGTATTGACAATACTCCCTCTCTCCCCTGTAACACACCCGTAATGAGTGCTTGAACCCTAAAAAATTAAGTAATGCCTGTGAACCCCCCCCCCCTTGTAAAAGAAACGAATGAAAATAAATTATAGCAAAGTGAAAACAATTTGAATTCATATTAGTGTTAAAATTAAAATGAATGATAATTAAAATTGGAATTAGTTGGTGATGCTGACTGCAACTCACAATAGCATAGGTCAGACAATTTTTTATCACAAGCCGTGCACACTATGTCACGGATGACTCATGGGTGTCTACTGTGCCAATTTAAATGGATTCTAGAACGTATTACATATCAGTTTTGAATATCTATTTCATAATCATACTGATTCAATGAAAAATGGATGAAGAAATATTTTCATTTATTATAACACCTTACATCTAATACCTTCAATTTATTAATGCTTTAAAACAAATTAATTAGGTAATATTTTAATGTTTTACTATAAGATAAATAAAGGAATTGGTATTTCAACAAATATTGAAAAATGTTAAAAAAAATCAATAAACTAATAGCCCCTACCCCTATTGCCTCAAACCCCCTTCCCCTACTTAGCATTACACAATTAATGGAGCCTAGTCTTCAATTAAGCAAGTGAAGAAATTAAGGCATTAATATTTGAAACAAAAATATTAGGGGAGTAATTGATATGACATGCTTACCTCTTCATTATCTTCTTCTTTTACATCACTAACAAATGTGCTCAGCTTATTTAGTGCCTGCAAATTACAAACATTAATTATCTCAAGAAAAATGATTACTATATCCTATTATTGTTTTATTTTTAAATTCTCAAGTTATAGCCATGTATTAGCAACTCGAAGGGCCTCCTCGCCCCTGCCAAGAATTATTTTTTTGAATTCTTAGATCTTTCCTGTAATAAGTACGACCCGGATGTTTAAGACATGCCATTTTTTCCTTTGTGTTATTTGCATGGAAAATGTAAGATAAGCATGATTTGTTCTACAACTGAAATTCTGCAATTTTTACATCATATACACATATCACATTTTGGCTTTACGAATCAATTTTCACACATTTGCTTGCAGTCTTCTCAAAGAGATTTTACATGTCTCCTAATTATCTAATTTCCTACAATTGTATATAATTGTTGCGTGTCTTTCCTATAAAAATACATGAATGTGAATTACAAGAGTAAGCTATGTAAAGGGAAAAAAAGAAAGAAAAAAACACCAGATGCAAAAGAAGTGTTAGTTTAGTTGTGAGCCACAGTCAATGGCTTCTATAAAATTTATTTAATAACTTCAGCAAGTAAAATTGTCTTCACAAGGTGCCAAAGGAGAAGGGGTGAATTGTGAAGGTGCTTTTTTTTAAGAGTATATTTTTAATGTAATGATTATTTAAACAAGGGAATAATATTGAAGGTATCGAAAATGCCACCACAACTTTGTTAAGTCATATTTTCATATTTTTTAGGTCAAAGGCTTGCATATTTCCAATATTTTTAGGTCATACACATCTGGCCCCTAGTTATAAGTAAACCAGCCAACAGATTTGGTTCCCTTGTTTATTAGAAAAGGATACGTTCAAGGGTATGTGGTCACAACTTTGTTGATCCTGATACAAATTTTAACACAGAAAAGATAGAAAACACTTGTGAACTAGCAAAACGTTGCAACAAGGTGTAATGTGGAAATCATTGTGCACTGCTAGATACTTATTTATGTGAATTTATTTGACAGAGGAGAAACAACAGAAAGGATTTATTTATTGAAATAATAAATGGCATTGCAGAATTTTTGGTCTCCCTCATCATCAAAGTAGAAGTAATAAGCGAGATTTGAAATGAAATTGTTGATATGTGAAATATATACCTACGTAATTGGAAATCATTGCCATTTATTTTCCCAAACAATTAGTTTTAATGAACATTTTCGAAGAATCAAGGAAAGAATTTATTTCATGAAAATTAAATGGTATTAATATGGTAGCAATTTTGGCTTCTCTTATCATCTAAAAAGTGAGTTTTTAAATGCAATTTTTAGAGAGAACTATTAATATAAGGATATAAAATTAGTCGCATTGTGGGATAGCAGAGATTGGGGGGAGAAGCCACCAATAAAGTACTTTTAAATTGTAATAATAATAAAATGTGCATTTTACATAGAATTAATGTTTCGATGTACTATGTGAATGTTGATTGACTTGTCTCAACATTCATTTGTTCACAGTGTTGAGAAGACTCTCTTCCGGTTGTTCATGTCAAAAGAATAATCTTTGAGCTAGTGAACTGGTATACATACAAAAGAGATTGAATTCTTTTAGTTTTATTTAAAAATATATTTTAAAAAAATTGTATGCTTTCTCATATTGCTTGCCATTATATGTTAATGAAATTTATCCACCTGCAATATCCTTTTCATGGTTGTGGTGTTTTTCTGTGCTTCACAAACCAATGAAAACTGAATGACAATAAATTTAGTAAAAACCATTTACCGTCTAATAAAAATTATAATGCAAAAAATATACTAATAAACAAGTGAACATGAATCATGCTTGACAAGCGAAAGAGCTCTTTTCAACATCTTCAATGCCAGATCAGACTTTTATAATATTGATTACAACGGGAGGACCAACTTGAAAGGCCATATTTTCATAGCTCGGGTGATCCAGTCATGAGTTCCCTGTATTGTTGATATTGGCAGTTTACCCAGCTGCTCTAAAGAGGGGGAGGAACCACGCGTGACATCAGATGGTACCATGCATAACGCAGAGAAACACATGGGTTGATTTTGAATTTCTGAATTTACTAGAAAAAATATTCTTAAATCTAAACTTAACCTATTTTAATACTAAGTGGGTGCTTAATATTGATGGCATGTGTGCTAGCCCCCCGTAGTTCTCCTGCCCGACACGGCAAAAAAAAAGGAACGTCATTTTTGCCAACCCTTTCGCATGCCACAATAAGTGGCACCGCGGGCCACATGGGATCCGTGGACCGCCAGTTTGATTACCCTGGATTACAAGAATTCGGTTTCATTTCTTCCATCCTTTTTTCAAATCTTAATATTCTAGCATTCAAATACAAATGATATTGAGAAGATTGTAAATGAAAGAAGCAACTCACTGTGGAATTCTGAAGAGGATTTTCTATCCAGTCATCATGCTCTAGTTTAACCTGAAAGCAAAACAAATGGGATTAACAAACCTTCCAGTAGCCCAACTGTAGCTTTCTCTCTTCAAGAGGTAATGTAAAAAGTGAATTTTAATTTCATACGGGCATTGACCCAAATATTGAACATTTTTTGATTTCATTACATGCTTTGGACAAAATTTACATACAATACCTTGCACTTGTACGGTTCAATGTCGTTTTGTTTCGAAATTTTTATATTATTACAGGACATAATCTTTTTAACAATCGGAAATACCAAGCTATTTTTAAAACTCAAATCTACAAATACACACCAATGTTAAGTATATCGTATTTTAATTTAATAATACTTACTTCTTCATATTTTATGGCACTTCCTGCATCCATTTTTAATTCATCCATTAGTAAATTACTTCGTTGCCGATAGTACAGCACGAACAGATGATCCGCAGACGAACGGCACTTCCCATCCGTCAAAACAAACGGCGGCAGGCCATAGACATCTTAGTCGGCAGGCAAAAGAGCGCTCTCTATGGGAAGAGCGTCGTCACCACAATCCGAGTAGTGATATATACTCCAGAGGGTGTTTATACTCTCTGTAGTGAACCGCAAGAGAAAAGAAGTAAGCGGCGCGGCGAGCGAGTTGTACACTCATTTCAATTACCCCCTTTCAATAATGATATAATATTATTTTCATTATATCACTGTACAGTAATTCAGAAAAGCTCTTGAGTGTGCGGACGTGCAATATTTGCTATTCCTCGACCACTTCCCGTGCTCCAATCATAGAGGAGGGATATCTTTATGACACCAATCGAGACATATGACACGTATGAGGTGTCATTCAACACGTCGAGTCTGTTGGTGGGGAACTGATAATTTGTTTGCGAATCCCGCCAGAAGATATACAGAAATTTCCAAAATCAATTTTTCGTGTTTTAGCGCTGCAATCTTTGCGATAATGCCAGGAATTAAACCAGCGCCTCCTTGAACGATCTATGTAGGTGGCGTTGATTAAATAACAAAACCTAAAGGTATTTTTTGCTTAATATGCCATAATTTTCTTTCACGACTTTGGGAACACTGATGTGAAGTGAACAATTGAATTAAGGTAAACCGCGCTGTAATTCAATTTCAATCAAGAGTCGAATTATTATCGTATTTTAAAAAATTAATTTGCGAATACCCACGAACAATATTGCCTCGGAACTTATTGAACTTCAAGAATTTCAAGTGAATGTGGAGAAAACACAACTGTGAGAAATGCTAGAGAATAAATGAACGTTCGCACGTTTACGTTCTTACATAAGTGTGCAAATAAATGTGAACCACAACTTCTTATTCAAATTAACTGACACCTTATTCACATAAACATACCAAACAGACACATTTTAATGTTAAATTCGCGTGCAACGCTGGATCCGTATACAAAACGATTAATAGAGCAATTGTGCAAGTAGACGTGAACATAAATTAAATTGACTTTAATCCCTTCGACAATTAAAGAAGAGAAATATGGTGTTTAGGTAAATAGTATTAAAGAAATCTCTGGAAAAATCAAATGTAGTTGTAAAATATGTTGCGATAGAAGTTTCGGAACTAATTTGGAATGATCTGTATTTTTGCATTTAGCATTTGTACCAGCTCATATCCCGTATACAGGTAACACATGAGGCCATTGGGTGTTGGGAACTTTGCAACGGGAGTATAACATTATCAGCTACTACGATTTGTTGGTTAGTACTAACTAATTTAATAAAACAGTTATACATTTCTAACTAGCGAAACCTGGCAGACGTTGTTCTGCCATTAATGTCCCTCTTTCTCCGTTAGTCCATGTCTCAGTCTCTCTGACTGTCTCTCTCATACACATGTAGCTGTAGATTGTGCACGTCTCTGAGCAGGCGAGGTAACATCGAGAAGCGCCGGATCAGCAATAATGTAATAGAATATTCTAGAACAACTCATATTATAGATTATGATCTGAGAAACGTTTCTTTGAGGCCGTTGAGCCCAAAATGTTAGTTGTTAATGCCCTAGAACGCTTCGTTAAGGAATTATTAAACGATATGTCAGAAACTGGGTGAGCGAGTTGGAAAGGGCACGCCTGTTACCTGCGATACTGTTGCGCGCTATGTCCGCGACGCGGCGCAGGTAAATGAGGTGGAAGCAGTCAGATAGGGGAGGGGGATTTCTTTTGTTTGAATTTTTTGGAAGAAAGTGTTCGTCAAATGAAACGCGAGGTGTTAATTTAGAATCTATCATTTCATTGTGGAGCTGAGGACGGTACAGGAGGGAAATAATTCGTGCTGAGAAAGTAAATTTCAGTCAGCGGCGACATTTGGGACAGTGTGAGCGAGTGCTACGCGTACACCCTAAATACGCACGATTTCTTCATTGCGGTGCAAGTAACATTTGCACGCGGGCGTAAACGAAATGTCGAGGGGGACGAAGCAGACGAGGACGAACGGCGCCGGTATAACAAGACCGGGACGCAAGAGAGCAGCGAGAAGTCACCGGCAACCAGGGGACACGATCGGTGGCAGAATGCAGCGTGTAAAGGCGAGATTCCGTTGACGCCGAGGCGCGTCACGGTCGAGCGGTTGCAAACGCTGCTGCGTGAGGTTTTCAGCCCAGAGCGCTGAAAACGAGGTCAAGCCCCATGACCAGGGAGAACATGTTAAAAAGGAAATTAGTATTCAGAACGCATCGAGTTATCATTCAGAGATTCTTGCCATTTTAATGCATTTTTGCCTTCAGACTTGTAAATAGGTCAATATTGCTTTACGTTGCATGCGGCAACAAATTGTTATAAAGAGTGTTGCGCATCTGCGCACATTTTTGTAGTAACGTTATTTGGATGGAGTGTTAAATTGTGCACTGTGTCATTGGTTAATGTAAATAGTAAATGTAGCACATTAAAATAGTAAACAAAACAAAGGGAACTATCCGAACAATCATTTGCGCTTAAAGATTAATGAATAACATGCTTCATTGAGAAAGCGTACCAATATTTTTGTTCTGTTTTGTTTCATTTGATTTTGGTGTGATTTTTTTGTTAGTAGCTAGTGGATTTCAAGAGTATTAAACCCAGTTTAATTGATTTGTGTTTTGGATTTGCTCTCAACACCCACAAGTCCCCACAGTTCTGAGTAATTACAAGCTCGCAAGAGTATGATTTCTGCGAGGTTCCCAACAGGCATTTATTTATTTATTTATATATTAGTTATAATGCTAATTACGAGGCGCATTCAAGTTCTAAGGCCTCCGATTTTTTTCTCCAGAATATAATATAATATAAACATGTGAACTGTTTTAAAATGAACGCGCATGCGTTGTTAATACGCCACAGAGATGGCAGCACTGTACGACAGTTGGAAACGTAGCGCCAGCGGCAAGAATGAGAACTGTTTTACATACTTAATATAGCGACGTTTACCTTACTTGAACAGCGTGCAATCTTTCGTTTTCTGAATTTGCGTGGAGTGAAGCGAATTGAAATTCATCAACAGGTGAAGGAGACATGTAGTGATGGAGTTATGGATGTGTCGAAAGTGCGTTCGTGGGTGCGACAGTTTAATGAAAGCAGTATATTGTGTGACAATAAACCGAAACAACCTCGGGCTCGCAAGCCGGTCTGACATGATCGAGAAAGTGGAGAGAATTGTTTTGGGGATCGCCGAATGACTGTTCAACAGAACGCCTCCAGTGTTAGCATTTCCGTGGGCTCTGTGCACCAATCCTGCATGACAACTTGAAAATGCAAAAGTGTCATCCAAGTGGGTGCCACGAATGCTGACTGTCGACCACAAGGCTATCTGTGTAGCATGTTGCCAAGCAAAGTTGACACGCAACGACAACATGAATGGGACTTTCTTTTCGTTGATTGGATGAGACTTGGATCCCATTTTTCAAACCAGAAACAAAGCGCCAGTCAGCTCAATGGAAGCACACAGATTCACCGCCACCAAAAAAAATTTCGGGTAACCGCCAGTGGTGAAAAAATGATGGTGGCCATGTTCTGGGGACAGCGAGGGCGTAATCCTTATGCATTGCGTTCCAAAGGGTACTACAGTTATAGGTGCATCCTACGAAAAAAGTTCCTTCCGGCAAAAGTTCCTCCGACTGCTACTGTTGGTTAACAGGATTATTAGATATCGCTTTATGGAGTAAAATTATCGATCATTATTGCAAACAATAATAGGCTAGGCAAATGTTTGAAATAAAATAATGTTATTTCATAATCATCACCAACAGTATCAAGAACAAAAATCATGGAATGAACTAGCGTAAAACGTGTCCAAACAATAGTGCTTGTGCGAAGTGATGAGAGATCATATTGGAATTCTTTTATTTTCTATGAATCCTATTACTTGCAATATCCTCAATGCAGAACTAATACAAAAATTAGCGCCCAATGGAAATTCAGACCTGAACATGTATTCCAGAGATGTGAATACCCACCTAGACTCTACGAATTAAATAATGTAAGAAATGATTGAATTTATATTTTTAAAATTAGTTTTGATGAATCGACATGAGTAGCTTACGTATTACTATATATTAGTGTTCAGAATTTTGGAAATGATACAGTTTACATTTCCAACATTCAGAGCAGGTGCAACCTCTGCCACTATCTGGTGCCTATACTTTTTGGTCTCAATCGTATGCTAGCCAGTGAATGATGGAAGAGTATTAGGAGTTGAGGGGGTAGTGTTTTGCTTATAAGGTTTCATGTACTGCGATTTATCTAACTCTGTCTTTCAAGACCCTACTTTATGGTGGCGTCTTTCTCCGTCGGTTTGCTAGATGGCGCATGATCGCGACCGTATGCAGCCCTGCTGTACGATGTGGATCGTGCGACATCAGTAAGGTAGAGGCAGAGTTGGAAAAATCGCAGTATTGAGTGGTCTGCCCCTATTTACTCAGCGAAGAACACCGACCTGTTCATATGATTTCACAAATTACTTTGATTACTGTAAATATTTTTTAATATCCAATTTCCTGAACTCAATACGAGGGCACCTCTTCAGTTATCGTCGTAAAGTTGCCCAAAAACAAAGATTTCAACCCCATCGCTTGCTAATCGATCGTGCACATCAGGCCATTCATGACGTTTTAGAAGCAGCTTTCTTTTCGCGAGCGTCCAGTTAGAATGCTCATGTCCAGCTTCACATTATTATACATTAAGAATAAGTTGTGGTTTTTACCATTTCTCTGCTCTACGTATCATTTAGGGTAAGTACTGCCCCTGTTCTAAACTCTGAAGTTTAGAATTTCTTTGTAAAATCTTTTTTGAGAGTTCATGAGAAGCAAAGGGTGTTCGATTCATTTCAAGTACATAAATATATGTAATTGAAGTGTTGTATATGTAAGCACTATTCGGTATTTAGTAATTTAAAAAATGCAACCAGCTGTACTCCTTTGAAAGATAGTTGTTTTAAAGAAACGAATTACTTACAGGACGGATGGTGGCGGAACTTCTAACAAACTCTTCCGAAACATATGGTAACGAATGCATCCCAATTGCATCCAGCGTTCCATTTTCCCCACGTCATTCCTGTCAACCGAAAAGGAATACTTCAATTGAATTCCGTTAGATTTTACTCGTGAGCAGGGGCGTCCTGAAGGGGAGTGGAGGGCAACTTGCCCCAGGCCCCGATCTAATTGGAGTCTCAATTTTTCTTTCATTCAAGAGAAGTGAAAATTATATATCTCTAATACTGCGCGTTATTTCTAGTGCATGGAGATATACATTTTGAAAATGAATTGGGGGAGGGAATTTTATTTGAAATCAAATCAGTTTGCCGTTTCGTGGTTAAGAAATTCCTTCAAACTGATAAGACAAATTCCTTAAAGTAGCATAAAAATAACTTGATCAGATGTGGACTCTGCAACGCAAATGTGAACAGTATTTTCAACGGAGTGCATATGTGCATCAAGACATTAGATTTCGGGGGTGGGGAGAGTTCAATTCAATAATTTGGTGAGGTATTGTAACCACCCCCAAC